TAAACAGATGTTAATTATTAATATAAAAGATATGCTACGCTACTTAATTTACGCAAAGAGAAGAAGAAAAATATACAATTAAAAGATATAACTAGATCAAAAATAATAAAAATACATGTAATTTAAATGTAAATAAAATTATTCTTAAAGAGAGAATTGATATGAATTAAGGTGTTTACCTAGCAATTTTAAATAATCCAAAAGCATGTAATGCATTTGCTAATGAGAATGATTCGGTAGCTACACCACTGGTGGCTATACAAGATAATCCTATAGCTATGTGTATTGTTATAATATAAAAGTATTTCTGCTGATCAATAAAGTATTCTATTGGAAATAAAAATTTGCGCGGACGAGATTCATTTAAAGGTATTACAATATCGAGTAAGATTGAAATATATTGTGTCAAAATGACGAAGACAGTTAAGATATAAACCAATACTGGAATGATTAAAGTATCATTAATTTAATTATATAATTAATAATTATATAATTCTTTAAAGTAAAAGTTAAAATTATATTAATTCCTAATCTAATTAGCTAAATCTAATTAACATTAATACGACAATAGAGTAAAAAAAATTATATTTTTAATTTAATATGTGATAAAAAATACGTTTTAGTATTATTTTTCATATTTTAAAATTATTTTTTCTATTAAAGAATATTTAAAATATATTGTGGAGTGATCCACTATTTTCAAATTATAAAGTTTTTAATTAATTTAAAAACAATTTTGTTTTAAAAGAAACTTGTCATTTATTGCAATTTGATCTTTTAACATTTTAAAAATTATTGAAAAACAACTTTCTTATTTTTAGATTTAATTATTAGGAATTCAATAATTTAGTAATTATATAAACGATTAATTCTACTATATATTAATAATTAAATAGCTTACTTATTATAAATATCGTAAATAATTTTCCGATGTTTCCCTGTTTAGACATTATTTCGATCTCATAATTATCTGCCAAAAGACTCCAGTTATTTCGAACATGATTTCGAAATTCTTTAATCTAGTAAGTATTTAATGAGTATCTATATGTATATATATGCTCTATATATATATATATATATATATATATATAATATATATAGAGAGTAAGCTTTGAGTGAGTACATTTGGACAATTGCATCCGATGAGCCTACTTGCTATTTCAATACGAGATGCATTCCAAGTGAATTGGAACGTGATAGAAAGTTCACCGATGCAATTATTCAAATGCATTCGTTTAAAGATCGACTTTGAGACTTCATTTTTTTATTAACGATAAACAGAATATTAAAAATATTGGATGAATATGTAGAAATTAGTTTTTAATAATATCAACGTAAAGAAAGTCTGCGGCGTACATTTAGTTTTTGTATTTTTGTTCTTTCTGATATATTTTCAAAATTAATTATTTAAATAACATTATTTAAATAATGACAATAATACAATTTTATCTATATACGTTCACGTTTCTTCAAATAAGAAAACACGAACTATGAATTGTATAGTAGTTTAAAGTTGCTTTTTATTTTCATATGGCCTCGTATGAAAATTTTACATGTTTAAGAGTAACAAGTTTATTAGGTACGTGTCAAGCTGTCTCTGCTTGGAATACTTTAATATTAGTTTGCAAAGTTGCTAATAGAATCACAACTTTTACGTAACATGATAAAACTGCCAGCCTCACTTTGTCACTGTGCTAATATTGCGCTCGATCTTCTTTTTTTTTTGTTCTCAAAAATTTAAGAAATATTGAGAAAAATTGAGAAACACGTGTACATTAAAATTACAGCAAAAATAAAAGTAAAACTAAAGTAATCAATACTTTACGACTACATTTATTTCCCTGTGTTACAGCACACAATCTTATATTAAATTTTATTGGAAAATTTTATTCAAAAGCTTAAACAAAATTAAATTAATTCTTTTGATTATACAAATTTTCTCTAAACAAAATTTATTCTAGAATTTTAACAATAAAATTAATAAAAAATACCAAAATGCCAATTTGTTTTCTTTATTCTAAGTAATTTTGAAGATCTCTCTCTCTCTCTCTCTCTCTCTCTCTCTCTCTCTCTTTCATTACTCTATAACAAAATAAATTATTTTCTGAACAGAATCATTTTGAAGGCTTAAAACTTATAAATGTACATATAAATGTATATTAATCTAAAGTTTGCGGGAAAGCTCTGTGATGTAGTATTAATCGTAACGGACGGAATCAAAGCGCACAGAGGCACGATCGGTCAGCCGCGTTTATCACGCGAATAAACTTGTCGTATTAAAGTAATAATGGTAGTTGTCGGCTAGTTACCGTATTATGATCGCGACAGCACGGTTAACTGGAAATCACCACGAGTCCGATATCGTCCCGGCTTGAAACGACCGCCTCGTTTTCGAACTCGCGACTCCCGCTTAACGATGGTCATCCCATTAGAGAGGCCGTAGCTCATTCAACAACCATAGTGGTCCGTGTCGTCCACGCGCACGTGATCGCAATTTACTTGTCGTGATTTCGACAAACCGTTCCGGGTCGTCGCGGCGGCACAAAGCCACTTTTGAACGCGGCCGCCGTCTCGCGTCCATTCGCAGTCCATTCCGTGTTCATCCCGCTAACGACTCGTTTTATAAGCGTAATAAGCGATAAGCTCTATCTGGCGATTTGTACCGCGTCGGGCAAGCGCGACCTCGCGTTGCGAGCCGAGGCCGATTATTGCGGCCCGACACGCGAGCGCGAGATTTTCGCGTTAACTCCTACGTAGTGGGGTTTTCTTTTTTATCCTAACCAGTTAGCGCGCCTTCTTTTTACACGACGGGCCGAAAAGGGGTAGCGGCCAAACTTCCCAGTATCGTACTTTTAATGAGCGGTACGGTCGCGTCCGCTTTAATCCCTAATCGCGTCGGGGAGTTACATCAATTTGCACGCTTCGAATTTAATAATGTTAATTACAATACAAATTGCATTACTGAGATACACTTCGTGCCATCGTGCTTCCGGTGTCGATTTCAACAAAGCGAACGAATTAAATCTGTTAATCTGTTAATTTGGTTGAACTACGTAGTAATGTTATTCCCGCTCCCTACATTTATTGCTCTTTTGGCATTTTTGCTCGCGGCACATTTCACGCTTTGCCGAATCGAATTATAAAATTATTACAAAATTATATTGTAATCCGGCAACGTTTATTTGTAATTAATTTTGTATTTTTCAGGCTTTGCTGTCGAGTTTCGACCACCATTTATCCGCCGACAGGAAATATTTATTGCTCGCTCTCAACTACCAAAAAGTAAGTGCTACCTTCAAATTTTTAATAAAGCAAAAATAATGGAAAATGCCTGCAAACATTTACGTTGCGTTGATGAAAAGCAAAAAAAATGTTGTATGCTAAAACGGATAATGATCAACATGAAATATTGCTTAATTAAAATTATTTGAAATCTTTGATGATGTGATAATTACTATGCTGACGACGCAGCTTTTCTCGAAAACATATGCATGCAAATGAAGATTACAGTAGCGCAATGTAATTGTCCCCGATTCAACCTTACGAATAGGCAATTTCTGACTTTGCATGTCTAATGCCCTTGTAATAAACTCAACGATAAACTTTAATATTAATGAAGGAGCGCTTTTTCATCATAATAACAATTCTCTCTTTTGCAAGTAAATTGCAATTTAACTGATGTCTCGGTTCAACAAGTATCTAGAGTTAACATATTGTCTACTCCTTTTTTTTTAATGTTTTTAAAAACACGAAAAATATATTTTTTATTTAATTTTTTTACGAAATACTTACGAAATTATTCTATTACATATTGTTGCTAATACCATAAGAAACATTAAAGATACTCGTAGTTAATATTTTAGTATAATAATATTATAATACTCTTTGAACGTAATATCTTTATAACTACAATATAACTATAACTACAATAGATTATAACTCAGGATCTAAATGTCTGTTAACTCCATGAAGACTCCATATCAAAACATAATTAAGCATCTTCTGTAAAATCTAAATATGGGAATATAACTAGACATCGCGGTATGCTGAAATAATCAAACTAACTTCTGCTTTATATTATAAGCTAAATGAAGGTGCTTTGAGAGAGAGAGAGAGAGAGAGAGAGAGAGAGAGAGAGAGAGAGAGA